TATATATATATATATATTTATTATTTATATATCATTTTTTTTCTATATTTAAATTTTAAATTAGTGGGGGATTGTTGAGAAATTATTTTATAATTTAAAATTTAAATTAAATATTTAATATGATTAATCCTTTTGTTTTTTAACGTTCCGAAAACCAAAACCGTTTTGGCTTGTACGTGCCCTTATCCAAGACCCACGGTTTCTTTTCCGATTAATTAGCATGTGCATAGTACGTACATGCAGTTTTTCCGAAAATTGAGGTGCACTCCTTATTATGCTTATACACTAAAACTGTAACTTTAAAGGGACTTGGGTACGTGAGAAAAAAGCAGTTCTCGACACACAGAAAATTACACAGCAAGCTTATTTTATTTCTCCCTCAATATTTTCTCTATTACAAAATTATAATTTTGGAGCGGTGTTCTTTGGTTCGGGGATCTTTCGCTGCACTCGAACGGTCTAACGGGTTGACGTATCTTGGGAGAGGAGCGCACTTTAAGACTCAAAATTACCAGTGCAGTGGGGGCGTTTTCTCTCTAAGGATAGCGCTCTGCGTGCTTCAACCCAGGCTACTCTAAACTTCTTAATTTTATTTACTCTTTGTGTTTAACTAGTTGTTACTGATTGCTCTGTTTTAATTTTATAATATTCATTGTGTTGTTGATATTGGTTCTGTTGATAAATCTAAATAGTTATTTTTATTGTGCTCTATTAAATTTATTTATTTTCTAACATTCTACTCATCAAATGTTAAAAGAAAATGATATTAAATATAGTAAATACACTAATTTGTGATATAAATTTATAATAATTTTCATATTAAAAATAGTAAATTTGATATTTTGTTTTATAAATCTATAATTTATACATTTTTTTCTATATTTAGGAGGGAAGAAGTTATTTCCCCTTATATATATTGTAGATTTTTTTTATCAATAATAAATTAATATTTATCTAGTAATATATATATATATATATATATATTTATGTTTTATATCATTTTAAAAGATGGTTTAATTATATAAACTTGATATCGAAAATTGTATTTCGTATAATATGTGCAAAATATTGTAGTTATTATTATTGATTTTATATCTTTTAATTTTAGTAAATTGATTTTTTTTGTATTAGTTTATTTTATTTTTATATAAAAAATGTGTATACAATTACATTTATATTTGATCTTATTGGAAGAAGCTTTAGAAAAAGAAGTTAAGAATTTTGGAGGGAAGGAAGTTATCAGATAACTTCTTCCCTTTATATTATTAATTAATAGAAATGAATTTTAATGTTCATAATAGAAGACCATTCTATTGCAAATAGTCATGATTATTTATGAGTTTAATTGATGTAATTAAATTTATTAAATATTAATAAATTTATTTTTAATTAATAAAAAAGATTTGATTTTTTTTAATGAACCGAAGGGTTTGAATTTTAAAAGACAAAAAAATTTTGAAAAAAATGAGTCCAAATTATATTGTTTTGAGTGAAGTCTTTTTGAAAAAAATATTCTACCTTTAATAATATATAAAAGTATATAATTATGGATATAAATATAAATATAGATAAATATAGATATATAAATATAATTTGGCGTATTATTCATCGTATTTATAAATACAATTAAACAAATGTGTGATCGAATTAGCAAGACTCTGTTCATGGGAGGTGGGTGATTCGTGACTTCTGTCTTCTGATAGAAAAAATAATTAGTTCATCTCTTATAAAGTAAATCTAAACTACTTTAACTGTTAGCCTCGTCTAATTTTCATATATAGTTTTAAAAAAATGTGATCCACAATTTAAGAATTTACATGTGTATCATAACAAATTTCTTTACCTGAAATCCTATTCTAGTACTCAGGAATCACTATTTATCCGGGTCCTGACTACGACCTTTCTTATCTTAATTCATTTCCCAAGTCTTTCAGTTTTCCAAAAAAGATAACGATGACCATAAAGAAGGGAAATCAATGAATGATAACTTATGCTATCACACTAATACACTATCAATTGAATGATTCGCGAGTCTTTTTAGCTTTTCAATTTCCTGGTGGATGCACGAAGAGACTGTGTTAGTGTGAATAATTATTAATTAAGTTAAGTATTTTAAAATCTTAAATTACTAATTCTTTTTTGTTCCTAATGATGATTTCAAGACATATAAATAACGTTTATTTTAAAGATCTTTAAACAATTTAGATGTATTGCATACAAACATAAATTTCTTTACCTGAAATCCTATTCTAGTACTCAGGAATCACTATTTATCCGGGTCCTGACTACGACCTTTCTTATCTTAATTCATTTCCCAAGTCTTTCAGTTTTCCAAAAAAGATAACGATGACCATAAAGAAGGGAAATCAATGAATGATAACTTATGCTATCACACTAATACACTATCAATTGAATGATTCGCGAGTCTTTTTAGCTTTTCAATTTCCTGGTGGATGCACGAAGAGACTGTGTTAGTGTGAATAATTATTAATTAAGTTGCGATTTCATCAAGATGCAGTGATTGACACATGTAGAGTATATAATATAATACTTTCAGGGAATTTTCATATTTCAAGAATATAAAATCAACCTGCAATATTCAAAACACTTAAAAGTCTTCCAAAGCCTGATTTCAGATTCGGTATCTCACTCTTCATTCACTTGAAAGATAATGGCCAAAGATCATGGATTTGTCATTGGAATCGACCTTGGCACAACTTACTCGTGTGTTGCAGTATGGAAGGAACAGCACTGTCGAGTGGAGATCATCCACAATGATCAAGGCAACAACACCACTCCTTCTTGTGTTGCTTTCACGACTCATGAAAGATTGATTGGTGATTCTGCTAAAAATCAGGCTGCCACCAATCCAGAGAACACCATCTTCGGTATATTTTATACTCTTTAATTACTGCCTTCTTTTTTTACGACTTCTCTATAAACTTTTAACAGCAAATCCGAATAATCAGAATTTTGGTAACTTATGCAGATGCCAAGAGGTTAATTGGTAGGAGATATAGTGATCATGTTGTTCAAAAAGATATATTGTTGTGGTCATTCAAGGTCATTGCTGGTACTAATGACAAACCCATGATCGTCATTAACTACAAGAATCAAGAGAAATACCTTTCGGCTGAGGAAGTATCATCTATGATCCTCACAAAGATGAGGGAGATTGCTGAGAACTATTTGGAGTCACCGGTTAAGAATGCTGTTGTTACTGTGCCTGCATATTTCAATAACTCTCAGCGTAAAGCCACCATAGATGCTGGTGCCATTGCCGGTCTCAATGTTGTCCGAATAATCAATGAACCTACCGCTGCAGCTATTGCATATGGCCTTGACAAGAGAACTAATTGTGTTGGAGAGCGAAACATTTTCATATTTGACTTTGGCGGTGGTACTTTTGACGTGTCTCTACTCACAATTAAGGATAAGGTGTTCCAAGTTAAGGCCACTGCTGGAAACACTCACCTCGGGGGAGAGGACATTGATAACAGAATGGTGAATTACTTTGTAGAAGAGATGAAAAGGAAAAACAAAGTGGACATTAGTGGCAACCCAAGAGCCCTAAGGAGGTTGAGAACTGCATGTGAGAGGGCAAAAAGGACACTCTCGTATGCTGTTACTACCAACATTGAGGTGGATGCTATATTTCAAGGCATTGACTTGTGTTCTTCCATCACTCGTGCAAAGTTTGAGGAAATCAATATGAAGCTGTTTGAAGAGTGTATGAATACTGTAGAAAGGTGTCTTAGTGATGCTAAGATGGACAAAAGCAGTGTGCATGATGTTGTGCTTGTTGGTGGTTCTTCTAGGATTCCCAAAGTGCAACAACTATTGCAAGACTACTTCAAAGGGAAGGATCTTTGCAAGAGTATCAACCCTGACGAGGCTGTTGCTTATGGTGCAGCTGTGCAGGCTGCTTTGTTGAGTGAAGGCATTAAGAATGTTCCAAACTTGGTTCTGTTGGATGTTACACCACTCTCACTCGGTAAGGATATAGTTGGAGATATCATGAGTGTTGTGATTCCTAGGAATACTACTATTCCTGTAAAGAGGACAAAAGAATACATGACAATTGAAGATAACCAACCCTCGACCCGGATTAAAGTTTATGAGGGTGAGAGAACTAGAGCCAGTGATAATAATTTGTTGGGTTCTTTTGTTCTTTCTGGATTTCCTCGGGTTCCTCGTGGCCATGCTTTTTGTGTGACTTTTGCATTAGATGAAAATAGCATCCTTTCTGTTTCTGCTGAGGATAAAACAACTGGTAGCAAGAATGAGATTATCATAACCAATGACAGAGAAAGACTGTCAACGGTAGAAATTAATAGAATGATTCAAGAAGCCGAATATTACAAGGCTGAAGATGAAAAGTTCCTGAGGAAGGCCAAAACAATGAATGATTTGGATTATTATATTTACAAGATTGGGAACGCCTTAAAGAATGAAGATATCATGTCAAAGCTTTGCTCCCAAGAAAAGGAGGACATCAGTTCCACAATTTCTAGGGCTAGAGATTTGCTTGATGTTGATGGTAATATCCAGCAAGATGAAATAGTTGATTTTGAGTATTGTCTGAAAGAGCTTATAAACATCTTTGAACGCCTTACGGAAATTGGCAATGTTGGGTAGTTGTTTTTCAATTGTGATAGTGTTGCTGACTTGCCGTTTTATGTGTTTTAAGTTCAAACTATTGTGTATATCTGTTTTTATCTTAAAATAGCTTAAGTTTTGGTAACATTGTAATGGATATTTTGTTTAAAATGTTACTGAGAAGAGATTTGGATTTACATGTGATGTATCCTTGGAATCGTTGAATGCTTACACTGCTTGCTCGTTTTTAAGTATACATGTGCTGCCAGCTTGAGTACCTTCCATTTTTGTCTGTTGATTTTTATAGTGTTACGCTTTGCAGGACTATAGAGATAGGTCATAGATGTGCAAATAGAAATTTAGAGTTGTTTTTATGTGGATTTCCTATTAATATTAGAGATTTTTCTTAACAATTTATATGTGGGTTTATATAAAAATATTTTTATTTTTAATTTTAAAATTGTTATCTTGTTTTTTTTTTTTTTGGTTTCTAAAGATTTGTAAATGAAATAGCTAGTGAAAACAAAAGTTTTGTACAAATATTTAAAAGCATAAAACAAATTAAAAAGATGGCAACTTGTAAATTGTAATTGAAAAATAAAACTAGAAAATAGAAACAAAAATAAACATACCCTCAAGTATTTTTACCTAACGTTATCCATGTCATCTTTTTATTTAATTAAAATATATTAGAGTAATAAAAAAATAATTTTCCAATTCTTTACCTATAAAATTAATTTCTATTTAATTTTACATTATAAATATAATAAACAAACATTGATAAAATAAAAAATAACGCTATATTTGCAATAATCTTACTTAAATATACATTATCTTATATATTTAATTTTTTAGTACTCCTAAATTATTAATAAAATATTAATTATATTGAATGTATAATAAAAAAGAAAATTGTACCGACCTTCTCTAAGATCTTTTTAAATGACACACTTCTAATTTTTAAGTGGTAACAATTGAATCAGACTTGATATCTTACTATACTTTAACTTTCAAATTATATCCTAAATATTATATATGTTGTAATTTTAAAAAATAGACTTAAATATGTTTTTAGCCTTGTGTATGCAGCCGCGTTAAATCTTGGGGCTAGCTATCCCACCCTTTGAGGTGCCTCCAACATAGTGAGGAGATTAGTCTCTGCTATCGGCGGTGGATACTCCAGAGACGAACAAAAAAAATATGTTTTTAGTCTCTCAAATTTAAGATAAATTTATTTTTAATTTCTAAAATTTAAAATTGGTCTTTTTAATTTCTATAATTTCAAAAAATTTATTTTAGTCTTTATACTTAAATTTTGTTAGAAAATATGTCAAATATATTGTCCTACAAAATTTATCAAATAGTATCTCTGTTAGTGAAAACATTACATTAAAATCAATTGATACTAAATAACTATCTTATTTGTCACTTTTAGATATGTTATTGATGACTTGAAGGACTAAAACAAGATTTTTGAAAATGATAAGAATAAAAACCAATTTTAAATTTGAAGAATAATGAAAATTTTCACAAAAAGACAAAATATTATACATAATTCAAAAAGGAGACACATGTAATGATTGATAGAATATGAATTAACTTTTATTTTTTTTTATTTTTCTCTCACTTTATGACTTCAACTAAAGATGAATGCAAATTTTTCTAATAAAAAACATAATTTTAACTATAAAAATATATTATAAAATAATAATTAATAAGTAAAGGCTCCTAAATTATTAACAAATAATACTATTGTGCGTAATATCTGAAATAATAATAGAATAAAATAATATTACAAGACAAGGGAATACGATTGATAAAAATAAAAAATTATAATACTATACCAAATTCAATAAATAATAAATAGAAAGAAAATACTATATCAAATTAAATAAATAATAAAGTAATTTGACACTAAATAATTATAAAAAGCTAACAAAATATTTTAAATGCATAATCTATATTGTAAAAAATTACTAATCATAACAGTGAAAAAATATCGCAAGTAATTAAAATATGTTATGAATAATAATTAGTGGCTTAATTAGTGGATGCCAATATTCATTATCAATAATTACCATTTATATGTCTGTTATGTATTATTCCCTTTATTGTGTAATTGTTCAGTTACCACATGTACTTATAAATAGGTTACTCATCTCCCAAAGATAATACACAATAGTCAGATTCTTTTCTCTATCTCATATTGTCTTGTTTCTTCTCTCTACTTTTTGTTCCTTTTATAACACGTCATCAGCACGATAATCTTTTATCTATTGGTGTTACAACTACAAGAGAAAGCTGTGAAGGTCATATTTTTCAAGACAAATATTTTAAGGTTAGCTATTCATCTTTCATAATAAGAACTTTATCAAATATTTATATTATTTACATTATTATGAATCAAAGTAATCTTGAAGACATTATAGTAGTCCTGAAGACACTATGAAATAAAATAAATAAATAAAAAATTTCTTAAAATGTGTCTAGAAGATGCTATCAAAAGAGAATATTCAATCTCTTTGAATTTATTATTTTTTTCTCACTAGAAGTGAGAAATATCAATATTTCATTGACGTAATATATTTTATCATTATTATGCAATCATGTTTTTCATATTATGAATTTGATAGAATATTTGTATTTTTATGATTGTGAGATTTATTTAAATACAATTGATTTTAAAGAGAAAAAATTATAAAAATATTTTTATAATGGTCTAGAAGACATTGTCAAATAAAGACATTTTAATATTTTTTTTTCTCACCAGAAGTGAGGAAATGATGAAAAAAATGAAAATGAAAGAATAATTTTTTTCACTAGAAGTGAGAAAATAATATGAAAAGTGAAAAATAAAATAAATTTCACCAGAAGTGAAAATTTTGATATAAATATATTTTATTTTATTTGATCCTTTGATATAAATGAGGTGTCCACCGGAAGTGGAATAATTTTGTCAATGTCATTTTTATAATGATTTCTCAATTTGAAAAGTATATTATATTTTTCATACATTTATTTTGCTCTAGAAGTAGCAATATTGTTTTTAATAAAAAAAAAGGATTAAGAAATATCCTTAGTTGGTTTATTATCTCTTGAAGACTAAAACAAAATATTGAGATTTTTTTTATGCAAGAGACCATTTTAACTAGCATCATTTCATTCCTGAAGTGAATGTTCTAATGTATTAATTTTTGTCTTCTCATATTCAATAATGCGAGAAATTAATGTTATATGATACTACAAATATAATTAAAGGCTCCAGAAGAGCTAATATATTATTACTGAAAGAAACGAAGTTGCATATTAAAAATGCATTATATTTTTCTGTCTTACAGAAACTTATTGAGTTTCAAGGATATTCGTTTAAATGAGTTTCATATTGAAACAAACAATGAAGGAAATGTAGAATATCTTTATATCATGAAACTCCACTTAAATAAAAAGGAAATATTAGAAAAATTATTTGCTTTTTCCTATGGACTGTACGTATTGCACGTATATTAGTGTGCAGAATGTTCAAGGTTATGTATGACTGTTTTGAGTGCCTCCAAGTGGTAGAAAATTAGCTTCTTCATGATAAGCACTAGATGGACGAACTCCAATTTCTTCTTCATTTGCAGCAAAAGATTCAGCACTAGAGACATCAATAGGGTTAACCACAAAGACACTAGTAGGGTCAACCACAAAGGCACCAGCAGGGTCAGCCATAGAGCCACTAACAGGTTCAACCACAGGTTCACTAACAGATTCATCCACAAAGGCACTAGCAGGTTCACCAACTGATTCAGTCACACAAGTAGTAGTAGCTTTAGTCACCTGGGTAGTAATAATTGATTCAGCCACCTGGGCAAATTCAGTGGCCAATTCTGATTGGGATTCATCAACAGGATCATGAACAGGTGCTGGAATTGGACATTTCTTGATGGTGTGTCCAACTGAATGGCATCTACTACATTTAAATTTTGTATTTGTTCTTTTAAATTTTGTTGGAGCAGGATCTTCATCTGTTTCTCTTCTCCTCAACATCTTAGGTCTCCCAGGTCCTCGTTTAAACAGAGGTGGTAGGATTTCCTCCTCTTCAACTCTTGGCCATTTGTCTAGTCCATTAATTGGGCTAATAGTTTGGTCATAGCACTTGACATAGGTTTCTCTCAAATAATACTTATGTACATATTGCTCTGGATCTTCACACTTGTATGTGATGGCAGCTACAACATGCCTAAGTCCCAAAAGTTACACGAGCATGATCTACGAGCAAGATCAACAATGAATTTATCAGGTAACATTGAGTGTGTCACCTCAAACTTCAAATTACCAGCCCAAATAGCAAACCAATTACCACTTTTTTTCTATCTCTTTGTCCAACCTCTTTCTCGGTTTTGGCATAACATTACCATCATATTTGGCCACTTTTTCCATCAATGTAGCAAACCTTCCCATTACATATGATCTAATCCATTCAAACATGGTTAGTATGGGCTTCTCCCTAGCCAATAGTATGGTGCTATTAAATGCTTCAGATAGATTATTCATTAAAACATCACATTTAGGATAGAAACTAAAGGCATGTTTACACCATGCTTGAGGTGGAACTGCATTCAACCAGTCATATGCCTTACTATTAATTTTCTTAATTTGTTGCATTTTTTCATCCCATGCTTCCACAAAGGTAGCCTTGGCAGCTCCCATCATCAAGTCGCGTAACAAAGTACCTAATTATATATTTTTATCAATTAAAATAATAGTCAAAATCTTATTGTATTTTCATAGAAAAATAATGGATGAACGAGTTTTGCTTTTCGTTTTGGTAATTTTTTTATCACTTTAAAATTTGGAATTATTAATTTTGCTCCTTATAATATGAGTAATTTTTTATTTTTAAATTTATAAAATAATTTTCTTTAATTTTCACTCTTCTAAATCTCAAAGTCGTTATTTTCTTGTTCTTAATGATTATTTTAAGATAGATAAATAATATTTATTTTAAAAATTTATAAAAAAATTTAAAATATCACACACGGATATATATTATTGACACCTTATAATAAACACATAAATGATTAATAAGGATCACATAATATTATGAATTAAAAATAATAGTTTTAAATTTTAAAAGAATAAAAAATTACTTTTTTATAAGTATTAAATTCAAATTTTGTTCATTTCATAAGTATTAAAATAGGAGGGATCCGTTTACTCGAGGAGTAAGTCTACTTAGACTTATTTCGTTCAATAACTCATGTTTTATATTAAATTTTAACGATTTAACCGTTGAATTTAAAGTTTTTAATACATAAATTAAGTCTGTAAATTTTTAAAAAATTTGAAAATCATTTGATATTTTGTTTCATTAATTCAAATCAATGTATAAAATAAATTTATGATTATCTATCAATTTGAATTAATGAAATAAAGTATCAAATAATTTTCAATTTTTTTTAAAAATTTACATATTTGATTTATGTATTAAGAACTTTAAATTCAACGGTTGGATTGTTAAAATTTGATGTAGAACATAAGTTATTGAACAAGGTAAGTTTATGTAGACTTACTCATGGAATAAACAGGTCCCTCCTCGTATTAAAATCATATTTAAGTATATATTTTCTTTTTTTACAAGGATGAACGAGTTTTGCTTTTCGTTTTGGTAATTTTTTTATCACTTTAAAATTTGGAATTATTAATTTTGCTCCTTATAATATGAGTAATTTTTTATTTTTAAATTTATAAAATAATTTTCTTTAATTTTCACTCTTCTAAATCTCAAAGTCGTTATTTTCTTGTTCTTAATGATTATTTTAAGATAGATAAATAATATTTATTTTAAAAATTTATAAAAAAATTTAAAATATCACACACGGATATATATTATTGACACCTTATAATAAACACATAAATGATTAATAAGGATCACATAATATTATGAATTAAAAATAATAGTTTTAAATTTTAAAAGAATAAAAAATTACTTTTTTATAAGTATTAAATTCAAATTTTGTTCATTTCATAAGTATTAAAATAGGAGGGATCCGTTTACTCGAGGAGTAAGTCTACTTAGACTTATTTCGTTCAATAACTCATGTTTTATATTAAATTTTAACGATTTAACCGTTGAATACTTATAAATAGGTTACTCCTCTCCCAAAGATAATACACAATAGTTAGATTCTTTTCTCTATCTCATATTGTCTTGTTTCTTCTCTCTATCTTTTCTTCCTTTTATAACAAAATATTAATTTTATAGTAAAAGTAATAATTTATAATTTATATTTTAGACAACTTTTCATTTTTCAATTAAGTTACAATTAATATAAACAAAATTATTTTAAATTTATTCATTATATGCCGTATACTTAATATTATATAATTAAAATAAAAATTCATATCATGTGTTTTATTTTTAAAATTATGATAAAATAAAAATGAATCAGAAACGTAAATTATTGACTTATTATTTAAAAATTATTTGAAAGAATTTAAAATAATAACTCTTAAAAAAATGAATTTCAAGATTTTTATTATGGTAATTGTGATTAATAATTATTCACATCGGCTTAGGCGTATAAAATGGAATTTCAGCATGTTTTAGTGTCCAAAAAAAAAAAGATGGGTTATTCTTTACAAAATATCAATTAAATTTGTCAAAAAAAAAATTACACTTACGTGTAATTTTGAGAAATCCAACAACACATTCATTTAAATTATCCAAATTAAGTAACAAAAAAAAAATATTTTAAATACAGTCAAATTAATTATCAACTCCACCGCACGTGGAAAAAACTGTTTTATAAATGTTAACTACATTAATTTTATCATTGTCAAACTTAAAAAAATAATAAGATTTCCTTTCTTTGTATCAATACAATTGTAGAATAGAAAGTACGGGCCGCTGCAATTACTTTGATCTAAATTGAATCACGCTCCAGTCACGCACAAAACATCTAAAACAAGCTTTTCCAACTTAAACTATTTTAAGATAATACTAAATGTTTGCATTTATCAAAAAGAAGATGAGAAGCAACACAACCAAAATTACTTAACAATGATTCCCAAGGACTCGAGTCTTTCAAGGAAGCTCTCAAGCTCTTTCAGACAAGCCTCAAACACAGCAATGTCATACTGTTCATTCTCCTCATCAAGCAAATCAGCAGCCCTATTTATTGCAGAACATATGTCCTCCTTTTCTTTAGAGCAAACCAATGACCTGATACAATCCTTCTTCAAGGCATTCCTGATTTTGTATACACACTTATCCAAATCATTCTTAGTATTGGCTTTCTTAAGGAACTCTCTATCTTCGGCCTCATAAAACTTTGCTTCTTGTATCATTCTTTCAATTTCTTTGGCCGACATTCTGTCTTTATCATTGATGATAGTAATTTCGTTCCTATTGCCAGTGGTCTTTTCCTCAGCAGAAACAGATAATATACCATTTTCATCAATTGAAAAGCTCACATCTAAAGGATGCCCACGAGGAGCGGGAGGAAAACTAGAAAGAACAAAAAACCCCAGCAAATTGTTATCACTGGCTCTTGTTCTCTCACCCTCATAAACATCAATCCCGACCGAAGATTGGTTATCAAAGGATGTTCCAAATCCTTGTTTCTTCTTTAGAGGAATGGAAGTGTTCCTAGGAACCACAACACTCATACGATCTCCTGTGATCGATATACCGAGAGACAGCGGTGTGACATCTAATAATACCAAATCTGGAACATTCTTAAAGCCTTTACTCAACAATGCAGCTTGCACAGCTGCGCCATAAGCAACAGCCTCATCAGGGTTAATACTCTTGCACAAATCTTTACCATTGAAGAAAGCCTGCAATAACTGCTGCACTTTGGGAATTCTAGAAGAGCCACCAACAAGGACAACATCATGCACACTGCTTTTGTCCATCTTAGCATCAGTAAGACACTTCTCTACTGTCTCAATGCACTCTTCAAACAGCTCCATATTAATTTCCTCAAACCTTGCACGATTGATTGAAGAGTTGAAGTCTATGCCTTGAAATATAGCATCAACATCAACTTTGGTGGTAACAACACAAGAGAGTGTCCTTTTTGCCCTCTCACATGCAGTTCTCAACCTCCTTAGAGCCCTAGGATTGCCACTAATGTCCACTTTGTTTTTCCTTTTGATCTCTTCTACAAAATAGTTCACCATTCTGTTGTCGATGTCCTCTCCTCCAAGATGAGTGTTTCCAGCAGTGGCCTTAACCTGGAAGACCTTATCCTTGATTGTGAGGAGTGACACATCAAAAGTACCACCACCTAAGTCAAAGATGAAAATGTTTCGCTCTCCAACACAATTAGTTCTCTTGTCAAGGCCATATGCAATAGCAGCAGCAGTGGGTTCACTGATTATCCGTATAACATTGAGGCCAGCAATGGCACCAGCATCCATGGTGGCTTTACGCTGAGAGTCATTGAAATAAGCAGGCACAGTAACAACAGCATTCTTCACAGGTTTTTCCAAAAAAGCCTCAGCAATCTCCCGCATCTTAACAAGGACCATGGATGATACTTCCTCAGCACAAAGTTGCTTCTCCTGACCCTTGTATTTAACCACGATCATTGGTTTGTCATTGGTACCAGCAACGACCTTAAATGGCCACAACATTTTATCTTTTTGAACATTTTGCTCGCTATATTTCCTACCAATCAACCTCTTGGCATCTGCAAAAGTTAATAAAAACCCAATCATCCATTTTTTCTAAAAAAGAGTACAGAAAAATCATAAAAAAAGAAGTCACTGAGGACAGAAAATATACCGAAGATGGTGTTCTCTGGATTAGTGGCAGCTTGATTTTTAGCAGCATCACCGATCAACCTTTCATGGTCAGTGAAAGCAACACAAGAAGGAGTAGTGTTGTTGCCTTGGTCATTGTGAATGATCTCCACTCGACAGTGCTACTCCTGCCATACCGCAACACAAGAGTAAGTTGTTCCAAGGTCGATTCCTATGGCAAGACCCTCTTCTTTTGCCATTCTCTTTCAAGTGATACACAGGATAGAATTCAGAGTTTGGGAGATTTAAAAATGTTGAATATGTATATATAAACTACGTACGTACATGACGTGCATCTTCATTCCATAAAATCACGACTTAATTATTCCTATTAATAGGGACTCTTCGTGCATCTGCAATTGGAAAACTAAACGACTGAAAATATTCAGTTCTTAGTGCGATATTGTAAGTTATAGATGCGTGTCATTGACTTGGGAACTGCCGACCCTACCAAATGAGGTAGTAATCAGTCGTCGTGCACATGAGAGCAACTCCAATAGTAGTTGCTTGACCCATCAAGCAATTCCAACCTCAGTTTCTTATCATTGGAGAGGTTTGATGTGACGGTGAGAGTTTCTTGCAGAGGAGAGAGGGTTGCTTAGTGAAGCAACCATTCCTTACCTTTGAGGCGGTGGTTGGACGGCGGAGGTGCGGACGGCGGAGGAGCTCGGCTGGACAGCGGAGGCCGCGGGTGGACGAGGTACCGAAGGAATTCCAGCACGTGCACGCCGCTGTAGCGTGAGAGCGAGAGAGGGGGTCTGTGGTTCCCCAGGTATTGTTTTTTCTATCAGTAGACAGAAGTCACGAATTACCCACATAAAATGAGAAGAGTCCTGCTAATTCGATCACACTTTGGTTTAATTGTAATTATAAATATGATGAATAATACGTCAAATTAGTCCACAAAATTACAGTCACTACTCAATTAGTCCCTAAAATTATGAAAAAAAAAAAATCCTGAATTTGACAACTATGAATCAATTTAGTTGCTGATGGTAGTAACCAAATTAACTGATATGCGTCACAGTCAAGGGCTAAATACATTTGTAATTGCTAAAGTGAAGGCCCGGAAGTTAGGATTAAAATATTGGAGGATTGTGAAATTGAGGGTGTTGATTCAGGACATTTACCTTGAAATATGAATAGCTAATAAGAAAGTAAAAAACCGCTTTGAATCTGTCTTTGGGTCCTTTCCTTCTTACTAACCGTCACAATCCTGATTCTGCACAAACTTGTCAAACACGAGTATACCATCAAATGAAACAAGATGCGTCCATAAAAGTTATAGTTCAAGTTACCAATTTCGCCCATGCATTCATTCAGTGATATAATTTTGCCCGTTATCTCATACTTGGCGACTAAGCTCTATAATTAGTGACATGAAAGATTAAATTGAGGCCCTAATGCCGAGATTAAAACATTGGACGGCACCAATTCTGGGTACTAAAATTTTGTTAAATAAAAAAAATTGCTTCTAAAAAAAAAAGTAGTTCATTTATTTATATAAATCCTCATGTCATAGCTAAAAAAAAGCGAAAAAAATTCTCCCCATTTATTTTTTTCATCATTTCTTTCATTGCTATGAATTTGGAAAAATTAAAGGTACCCTCCATAAAGTTATTGTTTTTTCTATCAGTAGACAGAAGTCACGAATTACCCACCTCCCATGAGCAGAGTCCTGCTAATTCGATCACACTTTGGTTTAATTGTAATTATAAATATGATGAATAATACGTCAAATTAGTCCACAAAATTACAGTCACTACTCAATTAGTCCCTAAAATTATGAAAAAAAAAAAATCCTGAATTTGACAACTATGAATCAATTTAGTTGCTGATGGTAGTAACCAAATTAACTGATATGCGTCACAGTCAAGGGCTAAATACATTTGTAATTGCTAAAGTGAAGGCCCGGAAGTTAGGATTAAAATATTGGAGGATTGTGAAATTGAGGGTGTTGATTCAGGACATTTACCTTGAAATATGAATAGCTAATAAGAAAGTAAAAAACCGCTTTGAATCTGTCTTTGGGTCCTTTCCTTCTTACTAACCGTCACAATCCTGATTCTGCACAAACTTGTCAAACACGAGTATACCATCAAATGAAACAAGATGCGTCCATAAAAGTTATAGTTCAAGTTACCAATTTCGCCCATGCATTCATTCAGTGATATAATTTTGCCCGTTATCTCATACTTGGCGACTAAGCTCTATAATTAGTGACATGAAAGATTAAATTGAGGCCCTAATGCCGAGATTAAAACATTGGACGGCACCAATTCTGGGTACTAAAATTTTGTTAAATAAAAAAAATTGCTTCTAAAAAAAAAAGTAGTTCATTTATTTATATAAATCCTCATGTCATAGCTAAAAAAAAGCGAAAAAAATTCTCCCCATTTATTTTTTTCATCATTTCTTTCATTGCTATGAATTTGGAAAAATTAAAGGTACCCTCCATAAAGTGTGTATCATGTCCATTTCATTTTATTTGTTTTCTCAAATCCTTATTGAGGGAAGAAACGGAGAAAAAAAAAATGACGCAAAGCAAGTTTTGTTTCAAAAGAAAAATGAGCACACACAAACCAGTCGTTACTGCACCACTACGTAGGTATTAATAAACAAGCAATCAACAAAAGTGTAACGAGTAAAATGAATCAAAAGGTTAAAGCATGTGTGTGTAAGCACAAGAATAAATAAAAAGAAACAAAAAACACATGAACTTCGGGTAAGAAAATGGTTGCAATACCTTGAAAAGTGAAAAGCTCTGTCTTTGGCCTTGAAATGTCTGAAAGAGCAAGATAATTGTAGCAGTTTGTTAGTAGAGAACAGTGTCAAATATGAATATAAGTTGCTTCCATGATGCCTCTCTTCTCTCTCCTAGAGACTTCTCAAAGAAGCTAACATATTTTCCTTTTTTTATGAAATTACGTTCACATCATCACATGCCTAACGGAAATCACCACTTTATTATTCCCATTAACAGGGTCTCTGAGTGTGATTGGTGAATTTCCACCAAGAATTTTAAAAATTCAAAAAATTTAAACTTTTTTAAATTTTTATTTTATTTTTTATTATTTTTAAATATTTTATTTAGATAAATTAATTTAAAATTATAATTTAGTTTCCATTATAGATAAAACTAATTTGGTATATATATATATAT